AGGGGCGGTTGCAACAATGACGATTAATGGTAATTATTTAGATAATGATGACAATAGGTCGGGACGAGATAATGCATATATGTAACCCAAGCCAAAGTAGTTAGGGTAATCTATATACTGACATTGCATAAGTGAAAATTACAAAAATAAATTATTAGAACTAAGAAAATTAGTTAAAAACAAAACAGTTTCATGAAAATATAAAATATATATGATAAATATAAAATCTATTGAAAAAAATTAAATGATAATTTTCAAACAAAATACATATACATATCTATTATCGGACATATTTGGGTAGGATAGTGAGAAAATTATGTCCACCTATCACCCGCAATATACACATTCGAGTTTTACTCCTAGACATGAAAATTCATTCGAATTTGGGTTTTATTTTTCACGATTATGTCAAATTCGAACGGATATCTACAAATACTATTAGTTTTTACACCCTAAAGTTAAGATGATCTTATAAAACATTAATTAATTTATAAATAATTAATGTGGTACTGATATAAATGTTCAGGTGTAAACATTTTGATAGCGACCGACACCCGCCACATAGAACCACCAGCACAGTTTAAGTTCCAGGATTTAGTTTGACCTGTCTGGCTCTCGTCATCGAATATTGTGGTATCATCCAGGAAATTGAATTGTCGCCGCCCACGTTTCCTTGGTCCCAAAGCAAATCCTGGATATCTGTCTTGTTGGAAACACGAAAAGTCGCACCGTTAGTCCCTTTGCTACTAGCTAGACTTCATTCAAACATGGTGATGATGAATCTATGAGGAAATTAATAAGTCAAATTCTTGATCCTTGATCTCCACGGCGATTTGCGGCTTCCTCCGCCCAGCAACCGTCATATTCAGCATCACCATCACTTACTATTTTCTCCAGATTGAACTTTCCGCGCCCTTTCCCTAAGCTCCTTCATTTTTGGCACACAAACCTGAAACTTCCCTCCCTTCCTCCTTCTTACTAGTATAAATAAATACACATTGTTGGGTTAATAGCATTTTGTACCCCTCTACTAAATTTTTGCACAAACATACCCTTCCGTCTAATTTTTCGTTAAATGGCTGGTTAAGGAGTTGTGAAATGACCAAATTACCCCTAATCTAATCTTAATTTTGAGTTTAATTATTTTATATCTCTAAAACTGAATTAATTAAACTTTTAAGTTAAGGAGTCCCAACATCTTCTGTCTTCCACCCAACTAGCTGCCTCCTCCGCCGCTTTCCTCTGCTCTAACCCCCGCCGAATCATCTTAGAAATCAATCTTCTCCATCGTCGCTCCCAACCAAATCAAGTCGTGCCCGGAAGACATTGCTAATCCTCCTCTCCCGACGCAAGTTTCGCCTCCTCCAGTTACTGCCCTACGGGTCTATTTCGGGGAACATGTACTGGACCGTGTTCAGATCCGGAGACATAACCTCCGGTGGCGGGTTAGGAGGAGCCAGGAAGCAGCCTCAGCCTCCTCCCTGCTGACATCATCGTCCGCATCAGCGGCGACAAAGTAGCGGTCATTGACTCGCCTGAATCTACACTACAATTAAACCCCAATTAGAGCCCAAGGTTTTAAACTCTAATCGGGTGTAGTATAGGGCAAGTATCTATATATCGACCCGGGCCAGTCCGTCTACCCCTACTTCGGTTGTTGAAATCATTATCTAGTGATAAAACTTTGGTTTAAAGGTTTTCCAATTGAAATGAAAGAAAGCAAGAGTAATTTGGTTTGAAAACTCTTTTGTGGGAAAGTCACTTGGGTTTTGCTTCCCCCTAAACCGCTACTATGCTACGTGGGATGGAACGATTGCCTTGGGCAAGCTAATCATGAACCGCAGAGGAAAGCGTATGTGGTCGGGGACCACAGTCTCGATTGCTAAACCTAGTTGAGGATGAAAGGTCGTGTCACTCGACCCTCTCGGTTTAGACAATCAGTAATCGGCTTACATCCTCACTCAAATCTATGGTCGGACGGTTTAACCACGATTAATCAACTTGCTCAATTCAATATTGAGGATTGCCCTAACTCGACCTAGTTTAGGATTTCCTCTCTAAACTCGGCTAAGTTGGAAAATTAGATTACTAGCACCTAAATGCACAAACTTAAGGGGTGCTAAGCACAAAATATGCTCAACCCCTAAGTTGCTAAGCACAAGCATGCCAAATCATGGTGAAAATACCTCAAACATTAGATTGAACAATGCGCAATATCAATCATTCAAACCACATACAACAAAACTACATAGTAGGGTTTAGGGTTTCACTACACCCAAGTGGGAGGAGGACTACTCCATGGAAGAAGTGGGAAGAACAAAGGAGAAAAAGGTGGAATTCATCTTGTGGGGATGCCTCCTCTCTTCTTCAACCTTGAGCTGGGATTTCCTTGCGGAAATCTTCCCAAAACCTCCTTTGAAGCCAATCCTTAACTCCTTATTCTCTCTTGGTTCTGGTTCTCTCTCTAAAATGCAGAAGAAGTGTTTCTCTCACAAAAAGTGGCTCTCCCTTATCTTTCCTTGCAGCTCAGCTTTTAAACACGAGAAGTGCTGAGTTCACGGCCCGAGTTCACGACCGTGAACTCTCAAACGCGTCCGTGAACTTACTCCTTCCGCCAAAACGCTCCGCATCGATCTCGGCAGTTCACGGGCAACTGCTTGTGTTCACGGTCTTAGTGACCGTGAACTCGCCTTGCGTCAGTAACCTTCAAGTTGGCTCTGGACGCCTTGCGCTTCACGGTCATCTCCACTTCTTCAAGGTCTTGCGCGACCGTGAACTCCTGCCTTTAGCCGTGAACTTGCGTTTTTTCACCTCTTCTCCCGGTTTTCGATCCTTTTTTCGCCCATCCTTCGACTCCGAGCCTGGTTCCACATGTTAAATCCTGAAAATTACTCAAACGCGCAGAACGTCGCGTAAAACCAACCAGTAATGAGCAAATTTGGCACAAACATCTAAGCAAATCGGGGGCAAAATATGTGGAATTATGCCTGAATCAGTCATCGAGGAAGTTGAGCGCTCAGGGCGGTGGTTCTACGGCATCGGCAGAGGAGGACTTGGCTACGACGGAAGGGGCGCCGGAGGAGACGGTGTCGTAGAAGGGGACGACGAAGACGCGGTTGTGGCGGTGTGTGAGCGGATTGGCGGAGTGGATGTCCCGGTCACAGGTAGAGTAGGAGACGTTTGATTAATTTTTAATTAATTGGGTTTTAATAATATGAAATAAATAAAAACTCAAAATTAGGAGTGTTTAGAGTAAGTGAGGGTAATTGGGTCATTTTTCAGTCCATTAAACGGTCATTAAACAGAAAATTAAATGGAAGGGTATATTCTTTACGTTTTAATATTAGAAGGGTACGTTTCAACGTTTGTGCAAAAATTTAGAAGATGAGTACGCTTGTTAATTTGTAATAGTAGAGGGGTACGAAATTCTATTAACCCTAAACAAATTTAGTAATATTTAGGCAAAAATTTACCAAAATAATCGATAATAATAACTTATTTCCCTTTCTAACCAGTGGAGGAGAGAATTGACGAAAGTAGTCGGTTGGAAGGGTGTTCGCACGTCAGCGCCTACATTTCAGCGTCATCACTTACAGAAAGGCGTTGTCGCTTTCTTTATCCATGAATCAGTTGGTTGGATGGTCGAACCGCGGTGGTCAAGCTAACCGATTGGTAAGCAATGTCGCCCTTTCCTAGGCGCTTCTTGATATGCAAATTTAATTCCCCCCAGCCACACGCACCGACCCTTTCCCCTTCTTTGTTTTCTTATCCCTTCATTCCTCTCAGAATTCGATTGGAACCAGAAGAAGATACATCCGCCAATCTCTCCTTCTTACCGCCGCCGGTCACATCACCGTCGCAACCTCTCCATCCTACTGCCATGGGTCACGCCGCCGTCGCAATATCTCCTATTACAGCAGGATCGCATCCACCGGACGATCTGATTTCACCTACGAAGGGTAGATTTCCTCTGTGTGTTTCCTTCTTGTCGTCGATTTCATGACGTGGATTTTTTTCTTGCCGCCGATCAGTCTGCTTTGCCGAACGTTCAGTCTCGACGGATGGATCTCCCCTGTGCAAGTTGCTGAAAGACCATTTCCCGATCGTTGATTTCGTTGTTGGGAGTTCACTCGCTGACCGCTGCTTTTGTTGTTGGAAGACCAGTCGCCGCTCGCCCTCGGTTTTGAGGTACAAAACTTATTGTTGCCTCTGGAGACTTATTGATTGAATGAGGAAAGGAAGTTGAAGGACTCTTCCTTCTCATTTTCTTTACAGACTGCTCTTGCTGGAACTTATTGTTCATTCGTGCAGAGACTAGGCTCAATTGTGGTAAAGGAAAATTTACTTATTTTTTCCCAGAGTTTCAACTTGGTTTCAACTTTGTTATCAGTAGTTCAAACTCAATGTTTTTCAATTATACAGCAAAACGAATCAAAACTTTTTATTGTTGGCACTGCAACTTCGTTGGTAAGTATTTTGCTTATAAATTTGCTTTTTCGGCTATTTTACATCACCTAGACAAATTTTGTAACCTGGCAACTCCTCTATTATTTAGTGGTGAAAACTGTTTGGTGGGAAACAACACAATTTGAGGGTCATTGGTATGGCAAAATCTACTTCAAAATTAGTTAATTGAAACATATTGCAAGAGGACGATTACATCTAAGTGTGTTTTGATTTTTTTTGGGATGGATCCCATGAGTTTTACTCCGCCGCCGGGGGTGAATCCTGAGCCGATTGATAAATCTATACTATGGGGAGAAGGTGAACACTGTGCTCGACGTGTGTGGCTTGATCATGTTGGTTTTTTATTGGTTGTTTAATGTTAGCTTGTTTTTGTTTACGTGTGAAAAAGAGGAAATAGACATCTAAATCGTTGCTTTCATTTCATTATCTTTATTTATGTTCAGAAGCTGGGAAGTTTTCATTTGCGTAGTCAGAAGCCGGTGAAGTATGATCAGAGATATGATCCCTTTTTAAAAAGCATCGGATTTGCTAGTATTCCCGATATTTCCAATATTAGACTTGATGGGGCATTGATCACTGCACTTGTTGAGAGGTGGCGTCCAGAGACATCCACATTCCACCTGTTTACTGGAGAGTGTACCATCACTCTCCAAGATGTGGAGTTACTTCTAGGTTTGAAAATTGAAGGATTGCCTCTAACCACCAAAACAGAAAAAAGTGAGACAGATGCAGCAAAAAAAATATGTGATATATGTTTGGGATGTCATCCTACAGTTCAAACTGACCTTCTAGGTAATAAGCTGAGGATGAGTTGGCTACGACGTGAGTTTGGAACTCTTCCAAATAATGCTGGCGTCCAGGATTTGAAGAGTTTTGCCAATGCTTACATCTTGTCACTCATTGGAGGAGTGTTATTCCCAAATCGTTTTGGGGCGAACGTTAGCTGCAGTTTCTTGTGGATCCTGCGTGATCGGGATAAGGCTACTAGTTACTCATGGGGATCTGCCGTCTTGTCGAACACATATCGTGAGATGGGCAGAATGGTCTTTGGTTATGGATCAACAGGCGGTAGTACACATGGGGACTTGGCTGGTTGTTTCATTCTCCTTCAATTGTGGGCTTGGCAGAGGCTACCAAGCATTGCACCCATTCCCCGAGAGCCCGATGTGCATCACGTCCCTTTTGGATTAAGGTAAATAATTGTAGCTAGCCTAAAATTTTGACATGGATATAAGATGTTATTTATAGGTCATAATGTAACTCACGCTTTAACACATAATGTAGGTGGACAGATCTGGAGAGCAATGAAGAAAGTCTCGAATTAATGGAATATCGAGTATTCTTTGATACCACAAAGGAATTTGAGGTATGCATTAGAAGTTGTTAGAGTTCTAGTTTAAATTTATTGACTAGTTATAACAATGATCTAAATTTTATGTTGGTGTAGTGGGCACCTTATGGATTGGATCAAAGTCAATTGAGCTCTTTGTGGTTTTGTGTCTCTCCGCTTGTATGCTTTCATAGTGTTTCTTGGCATCGTCCTGATCGTACAATGCGGCAATTTGAACTTCAACAATATATTCCAACTTATTCAGAAACAAGAGATGAAGTAGTTGCATTATTAAAGGAGGATGATCTTGCACAGGAGGATGATTGGGCTTCACACCATTCCACTTATATTGAGTATTGGCAAAGTTGTTTGAGTCATTGCATTAAGGGGTCGCCTGTACCTTCACATCCTCTGCATTACCATTCTGAGTACATGCAATTGTATTGACGAATTACTCGGCGATTCATCACCTACTATGCTGCTGCACATGAGAGTATGGTAAGTATATTTTGAATACAACTATCCACAATAGTGAATATAATATTCGTGATGCATCAATAAAGTATTACTGAAACTTCAACATAGCATTTATGCAGTTTCGAATATAGTATTTTCTAGTGCAAATCTCTTTAATAATATGTTGTTCTTTTGTTGTGATTTAGCTTGACGTTATGGAGGTTGCACGTGAAAGGACAAGGCAAGGACTAGCATTAGGCGACTCAGAGGTCCAACATTTGGATACCCTTCTCAGGACTAGTATGTTGATCGGCGGTGGAGACATACGCGAGATAGGTGATTCGGTGGTAGATGGAGCACCAAGTGAGGAGGCCTATGTTCACTACCCGCAGTACGTGCCCCGTAGACAACGGAAAAGGAGAGAACGTGCACGAGGCTGAGGTCAAGAAAATGAAGATCATGTGTCCAGTCCTATTCAAGTTCCAGACCGACAATTTCCACAGATACCAGTGTCGTTGGAAGTTCCTTTGTCATATCATGGTGGAACTGTTAGTCAAGGTGATGGTGTCACTCCTTGTCCATCTGCTCAATTTGGTACTCCAAGCTATGTTGCACACCACCATACTGGTGCTAGTGGTAGTAGTTTAGGTTTTGCCAGATTTGGTACCACAGTCACAAGCACAGGTTTTGGTGGAGTTAGCTCTCCTACCTCGCAACAGCGTGCTCAACAAGAGGCACTTAGACAGTCATCTGCTGTTAATTTAGATGATGACGAGGTAATGCTTCATAGCCCAGTCTACCCACGGGGGCGAGGTCGCGGGCCAGCGAGAGCTTCAGAGCAAAACGTCGAGGGACACCGTCAGTATGGCTTGCGAAATCGAGCTACTATCCCACCCACTCTTTGTCACACTGGTGGGCGCCATCCACTTCGAGATGGCCATCATACATCTGTGATGTTTGTGTTTCTTGTAATGTTCGCTTACCAAACCCAATATTCAGCTTATTCAAACTAGTATGCTGCTTTATACAAGTAGTATTCAGCGTAGAATAAGTAGCATTCAACTTGTTATAACGAGTATTCTACTTAGTACAGATAATATTCAACTTGTTCGAACTAGTGTTCTTAGAATTACATCATATTTGTAAGATCTAACATGACGGTTATAACTAAAAACATTTAGAATTGCACCAAGTTTATAACATCCAACATGATTAGTTTAATGACGTGACCCCCTGAAGCTCTGGACGATGATGCTTGGGATTGAGAAGACCTTCGATATGGATATGACTTTGCATTGTGTCCAGCTTGATCACAAACGCTGCACTTGTGAGGAATCCCTCCATCGCGCCAATCCATCTCATTGCGTAGTCTTGATTTTCTTGGTCGACCACGTTTTCGTCTTGTTGTTTGATCTGGAAGAAGGTAAGGTCCGCGATACTCAGGCCAAAACCGCCTATCACCAAGTGGTTCGAATCCATACTTGTAACACTCTCTAAGAGCCGCAATCGAATAGTGAGGATTGATGAAAACTTTAGCCTCCATGCCTAGAAACTGGTAACATGCAATTGCATGGGAACATGGTATAGTTGTCCCTTGAAACTTTCCACAGATGTACCTCCCAGACCTATCATCAACATTGAGGTGAACCACTTGAGAATTTCCTCCTCTGTTTACTGCATTATTCACCCCAGTCACGACTTCAAACCTTGCAGCCATTGAGTCAAATGGTCGCACATGATGGTGATTTGCCTTTTTCGATCTTCTGTTGAATTCAGTGGCACAATATTCGGTGAACAAGTTACCAGCTTCATATTCAGACGCGGCATCCATGCGACGATCATTGAAGTACTCAACCACGCGCTAGAAAGTTTGTAAGACAAGTGCCTCAACCGGTATGCCGCAAACTTCTTTCAGAACACCATTCATGCACTCTGAAAGATTGGTTGTCATGATACCCCATCTACTCCCTCCATCTTCGTTGTCATGGGCCAAGCTCCAGTGTATCTGATTCTTCGTGACCCACTCAATACTATGCAGACTCAACCTTGCATCAACTGCAGCAAATTTCTCAACTAAAGCAGAATACTTGCGTATTTGATTTTGGACACCTACATTAAATTAACTAGTAAATTATCAACTAAAGAGTAAACTTTATACCAATTGAATCAATTAAGTACACCAAATAGTGAACTTACCAATTGGCCAAATCTTTTTCTTCATATCCTTATTTCTGAAGTGGGTATTGTAGTTAGACATATAATGACGCAAGCACCACCTCCATTTCCATCCAAAATTGAGATTCTCCATTGCATTTTGAATGACTTGATGACGATCAGATATTATGCAAAGGCCTTTCCGTTGGGTAACATATCGTTGGAGGCATTCGAAAAACCAGGGCCAACTCCTAGTATTCTTGCTCTCTACCATTGCAAATGCCAAAGGCAATAATTTTCTATTACCATCTTGAGCACATGCCATCAGCAAAACCCCTTTGTACTTACCAGTAAGGAAGGTACCATCAACAGAAATCACAGGCAGACAATGTTTGAAGCCCTCAATACATGGTTGGAAAGCCCAAAACAATTGTTGGAAGATGCGATAATTAGGATGAGCATCACTCGCAATGCGATCCCACTCGTAACAAAATCCAGGATTTCGAGCGGACAACGCAAGCATGAAGTGTTGAAGCTTGGTGTATGACTCCTCCCAGTTTCCGTATACCTTCTCAATTGCTTGTTTCTTCCCATACCATGCTTTCTTATAAGAAGGGTTACGTCGTATCTGTTTGCACATTCAACTATGACAGTTTTGATCCGAATATTAAGCTGTGTGTTGACCAAATGTTTGATGCAGTTAGAAATGAGCTATGAATCCATCTGCTTGTGATCCCGTGATCTACTTCCTGGCATGCATGTATGACTTGAGTTTGCCTCTCGCACAACCCATGCTTCACCATCATCTCTATCCGTCACACTAACCTTCCACGGACAACCCATAGACTTGTGTGAAGTACATCTCACGACCAGTTGATGAGGATTAGATTTGGACACAGGTTTGGAATTGTCTTCTAATGACATGTTCCTTCAGTGTGTTGGATGCTTCAATCTTCGAGTTCAGAGAGACACCAGAATAGAAATCCCTCGTTTCATCCCAATTATAACCTTCGGGCACTTCTGGGCAATGATTTCTTCCAAACATCAAATTTCCGATGCCCTCGGCTAGATTTGTATAATGTGGTAGTGAAATTCAAGCAGAATGTGACATTGACTCGAAGTCGCTGGCATTGCTGTCCGATTCACTGCTAGGTTCATATTTACCCATAGAATCTTCCTCGCTGCTTGGTGGGCAACCAGTCTATGCATTAAGAGACTCTTCATTATTATTGGTAAAGGATGACGATGACATCGTTGGAACTTATGAACATACGCTATCCTCCTCCAGTAAGTCAGTGAAGCTTTTTGGCCCATATTCGACATACAATTCTGCATGGTCATACCAAGGTGGTAGCAATGAGACCATCTCATATATGGTCATCAACCACATGTCGTTTGTGATCAGAATTGGAGCGTAATGTGATATTCCATTCTCAGAAATAACAGGACTCCTATAAGTGATGAACTTTATCTCTTGGTCTTCTTCCAAACCCAACATCGACCTCAAATTTTTGCATAGTTGCTTATAACTTACAACTTTCTTGATTCTTAAGTTTTTATATTCGCCACCTTCATAGTCAATCCCTTCGTTGGTCTCTATGATGACACCTCCCCACCATATAGACATAAAAAACTCACGTGCAGCCATTCTAACAAGTAAAAAATACTTAAATTAGTTTAGCCAATGATAAATTTAACATAAAAACTCATTTGTAGTCATTCTACGTTCTCAAAGTTTCCAAGTCTACAGCTTTCTAAGTTCAAATGATTTACTCAGCCAAACCTAACTATGAATACAAGATCCCATACTAATTATTAGTATAGGAAGTGTTACCAGAGAGTGGTAGTGTATAAACTTACCAAAAGAATGTCGAAGCTGTGTTCTTCTATGTTGGAGTTCTGTTGTTTGCTTGAGAGTGGTAGTGTAGGAAGTGTTGCCAGACATGAAGTTTTTTATGAGAAAAGTTTGAGAGAAATGATAGTGAAGATATGAGAGTTTGAGATGTTGTGCTTACCACCTTCCATCAATATATATTAGATGGTCAAAGTAAATGGTCAAACTGCCATTGCAAAAGGAACCACTACCGAAGGAATCGGATTCCTGAAAGCCACAGCAATTTCACAGGCATAATAGGAGAAAGTGCAGAACGACGCCTATATAGGAGCGATATCGCCTAATAATTAGCGTTTTTTACAATTACGATCCGATCGAGCCAACCAGACGCTAAATGACGAAAATTGATGTATCGCGCAAAACAGCAGGCGATGACGCCTGAAATGAGGCGATAACGCCCAGAACTAGGCGTCGACGCGCAAAAATCCCACCAACCGACTACTTTCGTCAATTCTCTCCCCCACCGGTTAGAAAGAGAAATAAGATATTATTACCGATTATTTTGATAAATTTGCCTAATATTTATATTAGTGACCAAATTTACAATTTACCATTTTAATAAAATAAAGAAACAATGGGAAAGGAAGAGACAAACCGAAGAGCCACAAATTCAGCGAATTGTATGGCCAGCTGTGAGTTGAAAGTGACATTGACAGTCTTGTATCCCAAAAGGTAAATGGCTAAAAAAGAAAGTGCAATTCAGTTCACAATGTCAACCCGCGGGTTGATCCGCGGGTCGACCCAGTTTGACCCTGATCCGATGAGAAAAACGGGTCGTACGCACCCGCCGGGTCGACCGCTATAAAGTACCGGGTTGGAGTTCAAATTGTGTCATTTTTTCCTTTGATTTGCGAAATGCGCCTATTTTTCGATTTTTCTTTTCGCCCAACTCAATCTTTGGAATCCTAAGTTGAATATTTGAATATTTATGTTATATAAGTGTGTGTGAATTTCATTATATGTTGGATCTAAGTACGATATGTTATTTTGGTGTAATATTATATGTTATAACTCATATGTTAGATAAGATTTGATATAATTTATGAGGATAATTACAATATAATGACTTTTTACATATTTCCGGGCCAAACCGAGCTAAAACGGTTGACCCATTAACCCTTGACCCACTAGCTCGACCGGGTCCGGGTCAACCCACGGGTTGACAACCTTGGTTCACATTCACCGTCAGCAAGACGAGTGGGCGACGACGGCAACCATGGCTGACCCCATCGACCCATACTAGAATAGTCAAGTCGCCTCCTTCCCCAAATTAGGCCATTCCTTCCTTCCTTCTTCCCTTTCGTTTTAACTTCACCTCTCTTCTTCCCCTTTCTCGTTTCTTTCTTTGTTTCCAGCTTCAGTAGCAGAGCAATGGAGAATCAGAACCCACCTACAACATCTTCTTCCCCTGCTCCTGATCCTGCTCCTCCTCCTTCTTCTTCTTCATCCCACCCCTCCTCCAAAACGAAATGGGTTCTCCCTTACCGGACCGATAACCTCAAAGATCACTACTCCCTCGGCAAGAAGCTGGGTCAAGGCCAGTTCGGCACCACTTACCTCTGCACCCACACCTCAACGGGGCATCGCTACGCCTGCAAATCCATCCCCAAGCGCAAGCTCTTCTGCAAGGAGGACTACGAGGACGTGTGGAGGGAAATCCAGATGATGCACCATCTCTCCGAGCATCCCAATGTCGTCAGGATCAGGGGTGCCTTCGAGGATGCTCTGGCCGTCCATCTGGTGATGGAGCTCTGCGAAGGTGGGGAGCTCTTCGATAGGATTGTGAAGAAGGGCCATTTCAGCGAGCGGGAAGCTGCCAAGCTCATCAAGGTCATCGTTGGTGTTGTGGAGTCTTGTCATTCTTTGGGGGTTATGCACAGAGATCTTAAGCCCGAGAACTTCTTGTTCGATACCGATGCTGAGGATGCTGCTCTTAAAGCCACTGATTTCGGCCTCTCTGTGTTTTTCAAGCCAGGTTTTGATTTTTTCTTTCTTTCTTCTCCCTTCAATCATTCACGCTTTGTAAATCTCACTGTTCTGTGTGTCGGTTTGATTGGGATTTTGATCAAATCTTATCATCTTCTCTTGATCTTTCTTGATTAAAGTTGTTCTTGCTCCAATGCTTGGGATCGCAGTCATTCTTCTACTTCCATGAGTCTCCACGCGCTTTTTATCTTCTTTTTTGGTTGTTCCCCTCTCCTTACATTTGTTTGTGAATTCATGGTTAGTGCTTTTTTCCGTCTGTAGTAGATCGATTATATCGGCTGATCTTGCTTGCCATTTCTCGCGGACACTCGGTTGAATAGAAGCTCTAATATTGCATTGCTTTCCTGATGGTTTCTAATGTTTCTCAAGACGAAGTAATGTCATGATGACGCATGCTCTTTCTCGGGCTATTTCAATTTAGAATGCACGGCTTCGGATTCTTACATTACACAACTTCAATGGCGGTCCGCCAGTTATTTAATGCAGCAACCTCAATGGCTTTCAGGGTTGGTGACTTATAGGTCTACGAATTCACTGACTAAATTCGTGGTTGCCCACTTGTATCGGATACATTAGTTGGCAGAATATGGTAATTAGGTAGACATTGTAGATTTGGGGTGGAAAGCTCTAGTCTTTGGAATTTGTGGTTGGCTTGAGGAAAGAATTGCAACTGAGCATGTTGAACAAACTAGACCTGCAGATTGTCCATTGCAGGATTGCCAGAATACAGCTGACCCGTATTCTGTTACAAGATATTCAGTTTGGTGCCAATGCATGATGATCACTGCTATTTTGGTGGGTTTGTAGGTGAAACGTTGTCGGATGTTGTTGGTAGCCCTTACTACGTTGCACCGGAGGTGCTGCGCAAATACTATGGACCTGAATCTGATGTATGGAGTGCAGGAATCATTTTATACATCCTGCTAAGTGGGGTTCCACCCTTCTGGGCAGGTAGCCATGTTTTGGTTTTTACATTTAAGGCATTATGGCCGTCGCTTTATCTTATATCATGATGGTAATTGTGTCCCTTTTTGTTCATCTCCAGAAACTGAAGTAGGAATCTTTCGGCAGATTCTACAATCCAAATTGGATTTTGTATCTGAACCGTGGCCTAGTATTTCAGACAGTGCGAAAGATCTGCTAACAAAGATGCTTGAGCGGAACCCGAGGAAGAGGCTAACTGCTCATGAAGTACTCTGTAAGTTGTTGCTCTTACTCGTCCCAATGATAATATTTTTCATACACTTATCACCAATGCTAGAAAGAACACTTGCCAAGAGTAACGAACTTGCCCTTTCTACTTCAGGCCATCCCTGGATTTTGGATGACACAATGGCCCCAGATAAACCTCTTGATTCTGCTGTTTTATCACGACTGAAGCAATTCTCTGCAATGAATAAACTGAAGAAGATGGCACTACGTGTAAGTTGCTGTGGGTTGTGAAATTTCTTTGCATATTTATTCATCTTATAACCTCTATAGGTTGCTAAGGTAAATTATAAACTTGATTCACTCAAGTCATTAGCATTTGAGCCTATCAATATGTTCCCTGCCACTGCCTGCCAAAACTTGGTTTGCTTCTCAAGCCTGCACTAGGCAAGTTGCAAAGGATATATTGTGTTATGAAACGGTATCTCACACATATATCTACATGCCGTTTTGTCCTGACGAGACATTGCCACATGATCCTCTGTGTACTGAAAGAATTCGTAGGCTGTGCCCTTACATGTTCTGATCCTTGGTTCAATAACTTTATCCCACAGCAGAGTTAGTTCATTGTATTTTCTCCAAACTTAATACAATTGCAGGTCATAGCGGAGAGGCTATCAGAAGAAGAGATTGGTGGTCTAAAGGAGTTGTTCAGAATGATAGACACGGACAACAGCGGAACAATAACCTTTGAGGAACTGAAAGATGGACTGAAGAGAGTAGGATCTGAACTAATGGAGTCTGAGATAATGGACTTGATGAATGCAGTAAGATAAACCCTCTCTTTCTAAATTTCGAAGGCTAATAAAGCTATCGGGGAAGTGATACCAATCTCGATTCTTGCACGCAGGCTGATATAGACAACAGCGGGTCGATTGATTATGGAGAATTTCTAGCTGCTACTGTGCACTTGAATAAACTTGAGAGAGAAGAAAACTTAGCATCAGCATTCTCTTTCTTTGACAAAGATGGTAGCGGGTACATAACCATTGATGAGCTTCAGCAAGCATGCAAGGAGTTCGGGCTGAGTGAGCTCCATCTCGATGAAATGATTAAAGAGATTGATCAAGATAATGTGAGTATTTAATCAGACAATGAGTAGTGTACTGATCTTTCATTTATAAGTTTCTTTCCTGTGGCTGATAAACCTTCTTGTGTTTCTGTTATGGGTTTTGCAGGATGGACAGATAGACTATGGAGAGTTTGCTGCAATGATGAGAATGGGAAATGGAGGAGTTGGGAGGAGGACCATGAGAGGAACATTTAACTTGGGAGATGCCCTAGGAGGACTCACAGCACCAAATGGATCTTCATCTTAAAAAATATTGGGTTCATTTTGTTTCATAGCAAGTTCTCTGTTTTGACTTCTTTCGCCTCTTAATGGGCAGACAATTAGTCCTCAATGAGCAAGAGCAATACCCAATTTTTGCTTCTCTCTCTGTCTCTATCTCTGTCTCCCCGTGGATTTCTTCTGCAACGTGATAACCCAAGGCCGATAGTTGGTAGACTAAAACTAAAATAATATGGATATGGTCACAAAGAAACCCAGTTGCCTGCTAGTATGCTTTCAGATAAAGGATTTTTTTTTTTTGGGTAGAATATAAAGGATTTTCTAAGGATGAAGTTTACTCTGTAATTTCAGGAAAATGGTAGGTGAGTGTATCGTTTGTAGATATTTGTCTCACATTCTATTTATTTGGTTTGCTGAGTGTTTAATTATGGAACTAAAAAAGAGGAGTGAGTTTTTTTCTCTCGTTTAGCGAGAGCTGAGAGGCGGCGGAAACCCTAGAGTTTTTCCGAGTTTTTTTAGGTTTCGGGGTGAACATCGGGGGTTTCTTCCTCGTGGATCAAGGAAATTCGAGTCTGAGAAGGAGTGGGATTACTTTTGACGGTGATAGAGACCTATTTAACACTTTGCAATCACAAAGAATACAATCAGAAGCAGTAACGTGCTGAAGAAATCTTGAGTTTTCTCCTGGAAAACCCTAGCTCAAGGCAACAAAGAGAGTTTTGACACGGGGTGATCTCAGGGAGGGTAGATCTTGAGACTGGAGAGATCGATTACAACCTATTAGAGTTTTTACAGAATGGAAGCAAGAGAGGAAGCTATGAAGGACACAGCGACAAGTAAAGAGAGAACAGAACCATTGGAGCTGGAGGCGCAGCTCAATAACATAACGCTGGAGGAGGATGATGAAGAACCCTTAGAGGTCGAGGACTCGGATGTCGATGTTCTCCGAATGGAAGCGGTACGCCGACTGGGGCTGATTGGGCGCCTGGTCTCTGAAAAGGAACCAAATATCAAGTCAATGAAGATTGCCCTAGCAAAAGCGTGGAAATTACGTAAGGGGTTTCAGATTACAGAGCTGGGAGACATGCTTTTCGCGTTTCAATTCCTAGAAATGGATGACAGAAACAAGGTCTGCTTCGGAGGGCCTTGGCACTATGAAAACTCTCTCATAGTGTTCAAGATCAGCTCAACAATCCAAAAACCTAAACCTGAGGATCTACATATGATAGATCTATGGATCAGGATATTAGGGTTCCCTGCCGAGCTAAGAACACAGCAGATGGCAGAGAAGATTGCTCAGAGATTTGGAGGCCTTGACTGGTTTGATAATGGCTCAAGTACTATGTGGGATGACTACATGCGACTCAGGGTGAACATCTCAATCAACAACCCACTGAAAAAGAAATTGAAGCTCAACATTGCAGGCAAGCTAGTGGAATTCCAAGTGAAATATGAGAAACTGCCTATGTTCTGCTACTCCTGTGGCAGGATTGGGCACCCGAAACTTAAGTGCAAGGTTCTACCTAAGCCTGAGGTTGACCCCTATGGCTATGATCTAAGGGTGGCAGCCCCAGGGCCTAGGAATTGGCTTTCCTACACTGCTAAGAAGGAAGATGCAGAAGTTTGGGCGGCATTGAAACAAAAATTCGAAATGGAAAGTATTGGCTCCAATTCTGATCACGATATGGCTTTGGAGCAGGAAGAAAACAGAGTACAGGAGTAAGTTCAACCACTGTCACAACAAAGGGTGGAAAGTAAGCAACCGAACAATCAGATTCAACCAAAGGAACCATCGACACAGAGGCAGGACAAGCAAAATACACTCGCTAATACAGTGAAAAATCAAGAGAAAAAAGAGTGGCAGCAGGTGGGGGCACTGCAGAAGTTTGTGATGGGAAGCGTGGAGGGGAAGGTACCTGGGAGGAATAATAGTAGGGTATGGCGGACACAGGAAGTTGGACCAAGACACCCTGGGGCTGGAGTACACCTCACTCCACAAAAACGCCATGTCGCTGCAATGCAAGCAGAGATACCTGAAGAACAAGCAAAGGAGGAAGGAAATAAGAAAGCTAGAAAACTACATTCAGGACAGGAGCAAGTGATAAACCAACAAAACAACATGAATGTGGATGGCGGAGTGGCGGAGTCTGCACAAGAGCAGACCCGCCCATCCCAATGAGTTATCTAAGCTACAATTGCCGGGGTTTGGGGAGTCCCCTGGCAATTAAGAAGCTGGATCGGCTGATCCAGAGAGAAAACCCCAAGGTGGTCTTCGTTATGGAGACCAAAAAGCAGGACAAGGAATGGGAGGAAGTGGTCCAAAGATTTAAAGGGTATAAAGGCTTTGGAGTGGGCTCTCAGAGAAGGGCAGGAGGCTTATTAGCTCTATGGCAGGAGGAAATACATGTAGAAGTGAAGGGATTCGATGAGAATTATATAGATTTGAAGATTGAGGAGGAAGGAAACACATGGTGACTCACAGAAGTCTATGGCTGGCCAGAGAGAAGAAAAAAGCACAAGACGTGGGAGCTCCTCAGATATCTGAAATCCCTCACAAACCTCCCTTGGATGTGTTGTGGGGACTTCAATCTAATTCAACATTATGCAGAAAAGAAGGGAAAACAGCCTGCAAATGGATATGAGATGGAGGGTTTCAATAAAGCTCTAGCAGATTGCCAATTAGAAAACTTAGGTTTCTATGGGAGACCTTACACTTGGGATAACAATCATAAAGACGATTCTTTCTTAGAGGAACGACTGGATAGAATGGTGGCTACTGAAGAATGGAGGAAATTATTCCCTGAGGCTGGAGTATATCACTTAAGGAGGTGTGGCTCGGATCACAACCCTATTTTGTTAAAAACTAATGTCTTAGTGGAAGATGTGAAATGTGGCAACTACTTCAAATTTGAAGCATTCTGGCAGGAGCATGAGGAATGTAAGCAAATCATCCAAGGGGGATGGGAGTCGAGTGGTATGAACTCAATCATGGGAAAGATCAAAGTCTGTGAGGAGAAACTCAGAAGCTGGAGTAAACAGACTTTTAATAATCTGAAATCGAGAAGAATCAAAGCAGAAAAAGCTTTGGAGAAGATTGATCGAATGGTAAAGACAGAGGCCATCTTGGCCCAACGAAGAGCACTTGAAAATGAGCTGGAGGACATACTCATTCAGGAAGAATTAATATGGAAACAGAGATCCAGAAATGAATGGCTGAAACATGGCGACAAAAATACCAAATTCTTTCATCGTCGAGCCTCGGAGAGAAGAGCAAAGAACATGATAAGAAGGTTGAAAGATGAGGATGGAAGAATCTGTGTGGGACAGGAAGAGGTGTCTCGTTGCATAGTCAGCTTTTTCAAAAAGCTGTACACTGCTGGACCAAGAACAACCACTAATACAGTGTTAGAAGCAGTGACATCAAAGGTCACCACTGAAATGAATGAAGAGCTCCTAAAACCGTTAATGAGAGAAGAAATATGGGCTGCCCTGAAGAATATGAGACCCTTAAAAGCCCCTGGGGCAGATGGAATGCCAGCTCTCTTCTTTAAGAGAAACTGGGATATAATGGGAGATACAATTACTACTGAGCTTCAAGGTTTCTTTGAAGCTGGCAGCTTCCCACAGGAGCTAAACCACACCCTGATAGCCCTCATTCCCAAGAAGAAAAACCCTCAATGCCCGGTGGATTTTCGTCCCATCAGTTTGTGCAAAGTGCTCTGCAAAATCTTCTCAAAAGTACTATCAAACAGACTAAAAGGGATCCTAAACGAGGTAATTGTTCAAAACCAGAGCGCTTTTGTACCAGGAAGGTTGATTACAGATAATGTTATGATTGCATTTGAGTGTTTCCACTCAATGAATGCAAGGAAATCAGGCAGGAAAGGCTTTATGGCAGCAAAGCTAGACATTACTAAAGCCTATGATAGGGTGGAGTGGGATTTTCTTGAGGCTATAATGTTGAAAATGGGGTTTGACAGTAGATGGGTGCAAATGGTGATGTGGTGTGTTAAAGCAGTGTCTTTTTCCACACTGGTGAATGGACACCAAACTGAAAATTTCTACCCCAGCAGGGGACTCAGGCAAGGGGATCCAATTTCCCCCTATTTGTTCCTATTTGTGGTGGAAGGCCTGTCTGCTTTGCTATCTAAAGCAGAACAGGAAAGGAAGGTAGAAGGAATTCGAGTAAAGAGGACTGCCCCTCAAATTACTCACTTACTGTTTGCTGATGATATCATAATGTTCACTAGGGCTACCAGAGAGCAATGTGAAGAGATCTCGGATTTCCTGTTTGGAGAAGTCAAGAGATCTCGGATTCAGTGGAACCCAGAAGAGGCAGAGGTGATGGCGGTGGATTTTGGTTTGGAAATGGCGAGGAGGAGAGGAATGGGGGAAGTGGAAATGGAATCCGGTTGCCAGGGCATCGTTCAGCATCTACGCCGAGAAGAGAGAAGGGAAACCGAGGTTGGGCTGATGTGTGAGGATGTTCGGATCAAAGCCCAGGCCTTGGGCTTGGTTCGGTGGTCTTGGGTGGGCCGAAATAACAACAGACTGGCCCATAAAATAGCCCATCTGGATTGAAATTGGGATAGTGAGAAAGTTTGGGATGATAATCCACCTCAAGTACTTGTACCTCTCATTAGAGAGGATACTATTGGAAACCATGCTACTATTGATTAATATATGAATACAGTTTTCCTTCAAAAAAAAAAATTATGGAACTAAAAAGTGCACATAGCCACTCGCCTTGGTCATAAGCAGTAGATATGGCGTTGTGGTGCTGGCGGCCTGACTCCCTCGGAACTACACCACGAATTAATCCCGACTAGCACCCAAGTTTTTAATTTCTAGCAGGGTGCAGTATAGGACAAGTATTTAAATTGTCAATTCGGGTCGGTCCATGTACCACTACTTCAATCGCTTAAGTTGTTATCTAGCAAACGATTTTGGGTTTAAAACTAAGAAAACTACACAATAAACAAACAAGCTTGTAAATCGAGGAGAATTATATATGAGAGGACTTCACTTGGGTATTGTTCCCCTTAGTCTCGTATTAAGAAACCATCAACGAAACTCTAGTGTGAATGATGTGTTCATATACCGCGAAGAGGGGGGGGGGGGTGCAACTAACTAGGAACAAGCCCTCCTAGTTGATCAATCAAGGATTGCTACATTAAGCTAGCGAACCTAGCTCTCTTAATCAAACAAACTGAGTAAACCCTAACTCT